CGATGTAATTGCTACGACGACCTGGTTACTAACTCGTTCATTTATCTGCGCAGATTTCTGATTAAACGGATCCTGGAGGTGGTGGTCGGCTGCCAAGTGGTCATGTCGCTCTTCCAACAATGGATGGTCCCGTGTGTGAAGAATTCCCTCGTACCGTTCAGCGTAAGTGTTTCATTCACCTTTTCGCAGAGCTTTCGCGTGAAATCCTTCCTCTGCAACGATGAGAAAATCTCATTACGCCCGGTGAATCACCCATCTCTCGATCCTCTCCGTATATCATAGAAAACAATTTTCCGTTTCTCCTTTCTCCTTTCTTCTTCTCCTTCTTCTTCTTCTTCTTCTTCTTTTTCTTCTTATTCTCGCTTTTCGGGTCGAGAGAATCGAGAAATCGATTTGGTGTTTTCTATCGCGACGCCATGCGTCACGCGTTTATCCCCTTTTATTCTCCACCGAAATAAATAATAATCTATATGTCGGCCGATACGTATATCCATTATAAGGCGGCTAATTATTTATAGGAACGATCGTAGGAGGGTGGTCCAGAACCCAGAATGGAATGGCCCTTAAGATAGAGAGAGCGGATGAACAGAAGTGTAATTTGGTTTCGGCAAATAGGTTCGATCAATCTTTCTCGTAATTCCCCGACTGCTACTGGCTACGATACGCACAAATATATGGTCGACCGATCCCAAAACGGTTCCATCCACCGCCTCTCTCGTGGAAAATCCTCGTACCCCGTACTGATGTGCGTTTCTACGCACGATAATGGTCTCCCCCTCCCCCTCAGTCGACCCGTCGTCTCTTTTTATTCTCGTCGGGGCTGTTAAACAACCACTCCTCTTTTTGTAACTGGCTACAACATTCGACAGGGTGGGAATCATTTGTCGAGGAAACGTTCCCAAAAGAAGAAATTTTACGCGTGGAATCGCCGACCGAGTCAGTATCTTAATCAGGATAGGGCAGAGGGTTGTAAATATCGCTAGATAAGCTCGGTGGACAATTTGGATGGAATGCAGCCTGGAGAATACGTTATCTCTTATTATTCGTGGTACAATGGGCGAGGAGGAGCAACGCGCGTCTGGCGCGGGATAAGCGGAGAGTGATAAAGCTAGGGCGTACATCGACATTGACGAACGATGCCGCTGCTCGACTCACTCGGCCTCTTTCATAATTCCTGCTGTGCTCTATTTTCGAAATTGATCGAGGGAATGGAAGAGCCAGGTGAGAGGGGTGCCGAGGAGCTTGAGATCGTGAACCGGCAATTAAGCTCGTTCATTCTCGTCGATGGGTCGATTTACTTGTTGCCCCTGTTATCTGTGCGGGTGTGTGCCCCGCCGTCACGGCGTTTGCATTATTTACAGCCGTTGGATGGAATAGTGAAATGGAAGGGGAAAAGAGTTGTTTTCGTATAAACGTGAAAGGAACGGGCGAAATCGGGTGCGTGTTAACGGGAACACGTAGAAGGTTGCAACGTCGCGAAATTATTTTTCATCTGGCATCGAGCCGACACGAAACGACCGCCGCGATAAAGACAACGGCGATCTCGTGCGCGTAATGAGTCGACGGTAATTTCACGAGCACGAGTGAAATTAGCGTTGCGCGAGCGGCAATTGCCGATGGAGACAACACGGGGAACAAGCAAATAGCGTACCCACCGTTGCCGTTATTTTTCATTGATTTTTTTTCCGCCCCTCTCTTCTCTTTCTCCCCCCCCAATCTTTTAATTCGGTCCATTCGTTCGTTCTGTCTTTTTTTCTTCTTTTTCTTTCACCCGTTTCGACCACAAAATTCTTTGCCTCCGGTTAACGGAGGTTGAATCGCAGACGTTTCCAGTTCATTTCGCAGAAGGGTAGAGGGAGGTAGCGGGGGTAATTAACAATCTGACGTTTATTCATTTAAACCTCGTGACATTAATTGAAAAAATTCAACCGGGCTGCGGTTTTGATTGTTCGTTAACGAGGGGATGAATAGTTCCTGCTGTCGGTGCGCATCGGTGGCAGAAATTTTCCCGCGCTCGTGCTCCCCAGCTCCGTGGATTTAAATGGATCCTTTTACGCGGACAGTTTTAACCACGGCTGATCCACGCCGGACATCCGCGGTTTACCACCTATATCCATAGATGGCCGTATAATGTAGTCGGGGCCCCGCTACCCGTTCCACCGCCATTGTGAAACGTTGGAAATTTCGGTGATCCCTTTGTTTTGGGATGGATTCGTCGCGTGTACATTTTTCCCTCGCCAATTTCACACGAATGGAATAACCGATCAGGATCGATCAAGGAAACACGTGTGCTCGCTTGTTGTGGACGCGAGAAAATTTCGAATAATCGTGCAATTTTCGTACATTTTCTCTATTATTTTCCCACCGTTTTCATCGATAATTTCCTCGAACAATACTCGCCACGAGCTCTCTCTAAGAGAGATATACTTCGGAAACTGGTCAAGGAAAGGGAAGAACTTTACTTTACATCGGTACAGCCACAATTTCTTGCGCAATTAATATCATTATCGGTAGAAAAGAAAAGTGTATTCGTAAATCTTTTATGAGCTCGAAATATCGCCATCGAGATATCTTACTTGGAAACACTTTTCACGACGAACCTAATATTCCAGCAACCAAAAAAAAAAGCTTTCTCTTTTGTGCCGTACCGCGAACGAGACAATATCGAGATAATGAGTGACCTGTCCGCGCGTTAGGAGAGGAAGTCCGTCTGTTAGGGGGGAAAAAAGGAGAGGAGAGGCGAGGAGGCGTGCACGGTGTTGGAAGCGTAATTACAATGCGACGAGCGGCGGGGGCGGTTATCAATTCCGATGAATGGATTCCCACGGATGTGGCCGCGCACATAGGGAGGGAAAGCAATATCCACGAAATCGATTTCTTCTCGTGTTGGACCCTCCTCGGTGTCAAGCTTCTCGCGACAGTGACAGACCATCGCGAAGTAGATCCAAAAGACGGAGACATTTCCACCTCCCCCTTCCGTTGCCAGCTGGCTGGCCGATCAGCGACGTGACTGTCGTCCCTGCCATCGTGATTCGCAATTATCGAATCCAATTTGTCCGCCAGAAAGGCAGCCGAGGGTGGCCAAAGTGGGTGGAAACGAGCGAGAGAGAGAAAGAGAGAGAGAGAGCAAAAACGTGGAAAAAGGGGGTGGCGGAGGCAGAAGGATCGAAGATAGAGAAAATGACGAGGCGGACGACGTGGAAATGGATAGAGAAAAGAGCTTGCCACCCCGGAATTAACTCTCCTCGCACCTTGCACGGTAATTACTTGAAGTTCGATCGATGCCATCGATTCCTTTATATCCTAGGCTTGAAAAAACGAGATTTGGAACGATACCTCGGTTGGCCCAAAGATTTAACCGATTTCTTCTTCTTCTTCTTCTTCTTCTTCTTCTTCTTCTTCTTC